CACGTGTATCGTATGATTACACCTGCGTTGACTGCAGAACAGCTAATCAGAATCCTCAGTTAACTCAACTTTTTTTTTTTCAGACAAACAATTTTGCGGAGAAAGAAGCAAAGGAAAGGTAGACAAGTGGACAGAGGACTTTAGAAAATGCACCACATTCCAATGAGCGTCAGGGAGCCTCCGACTGTAGCACCATCTCGGGGTCTTGCGGGGTTGCCATAGAAATGTGACCCCTAAGTACTGACCCCCACATTCGAACAAGCAAGAGAAAATCATATCCACTCTGCTACGGCACTTACCAAGGTGAGAAGATAGACTGCTGCTTTCTCCACTGATGTGCAGAGATTGCAATGGCTTCGTGAATCAGATGGGAAAATGAGTTGATACGCCTCCTTTTTTGAGCATTTTACTTGATTTTTAACTGTGTTCAAAGATTGGGGGGATGGGTAATTGCTGGCCATTGAACCCCAATTCCTTCATTTCTTCATGGTTGGGGGATTTCTTGAACTTGGATCTGTTTTTTATAATGATGCTAGTGAAAAAAAAATTCCAAAGGGAGGTGACTCTTTCACGTTCCAACCACGACAGCCTTTGCGGGGCTCATTAGTGAAGGGGCACTGGGGAAGCTGGCTGGGTACACCTGGTTCCTAAACAGGGAGCTGCTGGAAGAATGGGGTGCAGAGAGGGGCTACAGAAGACACCAGTGGGCTGAGGGGTTCACTGTGGCTGGCATGCACTGAAAGGAGAGATGGAGTTGGCTCTGTTCCAGGGTTGCTCACACTTGTGACTGGGGCTGGGGCTTGGCAGGTACACAGGGTTACTCCCATAACCTGTGTCCTTTTAGGCAGGGCGGGTTCAAGCTGTAGGCAAGTCTCGGAAGCCATGGTAATCACCTCTGTGCATACTTTGGTCCAGACAAGAATCACACTCTGTGTTCTTGCTGACAGCTGGGGAAACTGAGGAAGCCTCTGATGAAGGTCCAGAACACACCTGCGGGAAAGCGTGGGAGTCACGGGATGAAAGTGCACTGAAGTCCATCCCTGGGCTGCTGCCCTCAGGGGCTCTGGAGCCACAAGGCAGCTGGGGGCTTCGGGGCCACTCTAAGTACCCTCCTCCTGCCCCTTGTACCTTGGGTCCCCTGGTTGGCTTTCTCACAGAGAAGTTGCGGCTTTAGAATTTATACTGTGGTATAATCCAAACTGCAATGGCAGGTGGCCTTTTCTTAAGAGAGGGCCAATGTATGGTCCCATCTCTCCTGTGAAGGTCTGGGGACCCCGGGGGTGTCTGAGGACATCCTTCTCTACCTGGTCATCCTTACTTGTTTGTGAAAGAGTGGCTCAGATGCCTCTCTGTCGAGTTGTATGGTTTTCCTGAAAACGTGGGGACGTGCCCAGGTCACTCAGCATGACTGGTTCCTCTAACCTGTCCTGGCAGAGACCATTGGCGGCTGAGTGTATGTGTGTGGGAGATGGGGATGTGCTCTCAGATTCCTTCTGAAAACGCCTCCACATTCCAAGAAGTCCTGGAAAGTCTTTAGGGAAGAAGAGGCAGCAATGAACAAAGATGAGATTTGCCAAAATGCCAATAAACCCCCGAAGAGTGGCACCATAGGGAGGGGAGAGAGGCAGGAGCCCTGAACTTATACAACCGCCCCCTACACCCACCCAGATCAGCTGGTCCTCTGAGGCCACCTGGGCAAATCCAAAAACAGAGCCTGGGATGGGTGGGGAAATGCTTTCTTCAGCCTCCTGGGGGCTCAATGCAGGCAGCTGTGTCCCCCGACCCAGTGGGGCACCTTCCATCACCCAGGTGCCCAGACACAGGGACAACGGGCCTAGGCACCCGTCCGTGCCCTTGGACAAGGCCTGAGTATCCTTACCCACGCACGTCTGGCACTCAGTATGGTTCCCTGCACCAAGTTGTGTCCATGTCCCTCCCACAGGCTGAGCCTGGGATGTGCTTGTCTAAATCCATCAGGAAAAGTCCACGGGTCACCTTGCTTATGCATTTTCAGAGAGGCTCTGCTTAAGCCCACCAGGAAACAGAAAAAAAAAAAAGGCATTTGATTTTAGATTCTCCTTTAATTGTTTTGCTTTTTTTTTTTTCTTTAGATGGAGTATCACTCTGTTGCTCAGGCTGGAGTATAATGGAGCAATCTTGGCTCACTGCAACCTCTGCCTCCCAGGTTCAAGCAATTCTCCTGCCTCAGCCTCCTGAGTAGCTGGGATTACAGGTGCATGCCACTAGGCCCGGATAATTTTTTTTTTTTTTTTGTATTTTTAGTAGAGATGGGGTTTCACCATGTTGGTCAGGCTAGTCTTGAACTCCTGACCTCATGATCCACCTGCCTCAGCCTCCCAAAGTGCTGGGATTACAGGCATGAGCCACTGTGCCTGGCCTTTAATTGCTTTTCTATTCTTTCGGGGGCTGTGGCTTCAGTAACTTAGGGATCTGTGAATGTTCACTGGGGATGCTGGGGTGAGGAGGTGGGAGGAACAGGCTCTCTTTTAATCTATGAAGGCTCCCTTAGGGGGCGAAACGTTTTTCTTTATCGTGGCTAATTGCCAAGGGTAAGGACACTTGCCACAGTTAGCTGAAGGAATGTGGTGAGGGAACAGGAAAGAATAAAGAGCTGATTGCAAAGGGTGGCAAGTGGATTACCTGAGGCCCACTGGGGCTTGCTCCCAGGGGTGGGGAGATAGTGCCCCGAGAATGGCCCCAGGGGAGGCTAGCCTTCTGGTTATGACATGCAGTTCTGAAAAGATAGTTATGCTGTAGTGCTGCTTACATTTATTTCAAGAACTTGTCAACCTGCTCACTCACTGACCATGGGGTCAGGGTCACTGCAGACTTAAATAATAGGTCTTTTTTTTTTTGCAAGAAACTTCGTTATCAGTCACATATATGGTCCTACCTACTTCTCTTCCTGGTTTACTTTGGTTTTGCTGCCAGTGCACCCGTTGGTAGCTGGGATGGTTTCACCACGGAAAGAGGTCAACGGGTGGTCCTGGGAGAGGTGGCTGTGTCTTGTGGGCACCACATCCCCCAGAGGGAGCTGTCACTGGTGACAGGCATGCTGCATGAAGAAGTCGATGCTAGCTCACAAGTGTTAGTATTCACTCAACTCATCTGAGAAACGTTCAGACATGCAGATCATCTGTGAATCAAGATCAGGAGATACTATCTCACACCAGTCAGAATGGCTAAAATGACAGATGCTAGTGAGGCTGGGGAGAAAGGGGAAGGCTTATACACTGTTGGTGGAAGGGTAAATTAGTCCAGCCACTGAGGAAAGCAGCTTGGGGATTACTCAAAGAACTTGACATGGGTGAACTGGACATGGGTACTAGGCTTAGTACCTGGGGGATGAAATCATGTGTACAACAAATCCCGACACAAGTTTTCCTATGTAACAAACCTGCTCATGCACCACTGAACTTAAAAGTTAAATAAAAAATAAAACAAAACAAAACCCATGTTTTCCAATTTTTTAAAAAGAGAAGAGAGTATAATGGGATTGTTTGTAACACAAAGGATGAATGCTTGAGGGCATGGGTACCCCATTTTTCATGCTGTGATTATTATGCATTGTGTGCCAATACCAAAACATCTCATGTACCCCCTGAATATATATATACACACACACACACACACACACACCATGTACCTGCAAAAATTAAAAATAAAAAAAAATTTAGAAAAGAACATAAGACAGAGTTATTTGACCCAGCAATCCCATGACTGGCTATATACCCAAAGAAAATAAATAATTCTGCCAAAAAGACACACACTCATACGTTCATCACAGCACTATTCACAATATAACAAAGGCAGGGACTCAACCTAGGTGCCTCTCCTTGGTAGACTGGATAAAGAAAATGTGGTACACACCATGGTACACTACACGGCAATAAAAAACAGCAAATACAAATACACACCGTGGAATACTATACAGCAATAAAAAGGAACAATTATTTTATTTTATTATTATTTTTTTAAATTTTTTTTTCGAGACAGAGTTTCGCTCTTGTTACCCAGGCTGGAGTGCAATGCACGATCTCGGCTCACCGCAACCTCTGCCTCCTGGGTTCAGGCAATTCTCCTGCCTCAGCCTCCTGAGTAGCTGGGATTACAGGCACGCGCCACCATGCCCAGCTAATTTTTTGTATTTTTAGTAGAGACGGGGTTTCACCATGTTGACCAGGATGGTCTCGATCTCTCGACCTCGTGATCCACCCGTCTCGGCCTCCCAAAGTGCTGGGATTACAGGTGTGAGCCAGCGCGCCCGGCTTTTTTTTTTGCAGCTACATGAATGTAGCTGGAGGCCATTTTCCTAAGGAAATGAAATGTAGGAACAGAGAACCAAATACCACACACTCTTACTTATAAGTGGGAGCCAAACATTGGGTGTTCGTGGACCTAAAAATGGCAACAAGGGATACTAGGCACTCCAAAGGAAGAGAGGGAGGGAGGGGAACAAGGGCTGAAGAATTAACTGCTGGGTACTGTGCTCACCGTCTGGGTGACAGAATCATTCCCAGCCTCACTCTTGGCATCATGCAACGTATCTGTGTAACAAACCTGAACGTGTAAGCCCTGAATCTAAAATAAATTTGAAATTATTTTTTAAAATGGAGATTTCTGGCTTTGTCCCAAGGAATCTGGTTTGGCAGGCCTAGGAACATGCATTCTAAAGAGCACCTGCAGGGGAACTCCAGGGTGGGGACCCCTGCTGAGGGTCAGGAAAGCAAGCTTCCTCCATGTGACACTGTCCTGGAGAGGGCACAGTAGCCCTCCTGTGGTTTTGACGTGAAGTGCCAGTATTTCAGTTTTTCTCAAAACGGGATCTGTCCTGATAAATGTTCTACCCGGAGAACATTCTTTTAAGGGCTAAAGGAAATGCAAAGGCCTAAATACACGGCATGTGCCCCTGCTACTCTTGACTGCCACGGTCCCCACAGAAGCATGCACTTTCATCAGACGGGGAGGAGTTCCTCTGGCTTGGTTCCTTGAACCACTGTTTACAGAGCACTCCCAATGACCAGACACCGGTGACAAAAGGGTGAGTGAGACTGGACCCCAAGCCTGCTTCATGGAGCCCACTTTCCACGGAATGGGATCGTTATCTTGAAACGCTGGTTGTTTTGCTTTCTTTTGCTGCACTTCTTGCCCGTCTCTTCAACTGAGGCACCCATGTCTTGCAGAAAAAGGAACACTTAACATTGACTTTGACTCACAGTTTATGGTCTTGAAGGTGGGACTTTTGGTGGCAAGGCAATGCTTTCAGTGCCCAAGCAAAGAACCTGGCTCTCAGGAACTGTAAATATTAAACCAACATGGAATGAGTCTGAAACGAAGTTATGAAGGCTGTCTTTGTAGCCCTTAAAACTGACCCCACTTTTTGAAACCAATCCAGACCTGACGCCGGTACTGTCCCTCAGAAAGATCAAGGCTAGGATGTCACCTTTAATTGACGTCATGGTGGCTTCATCCCTCTTCACTGCCTCTATAGAACATTCTAGCATGCAGGCACCCTCCAGTCTAACGTGGATAACTCTGGGGATAAACACATCTGTTGTTCACAGACTCAGAACTGTGGTCATTTCTTAACTGTAAAGTGAAAGCCGTGGCCTTGGTTCGGGTCAGCCCCATCCTGTGGAATGGAACACCCTGCAGGGATGAAGGAGAGGCCCATCCCAGCTCCCTGGAAGCCCCAATCTGCTGAGGAGGCAGCATAGGGGTGGGTAGGGCTGGCAACATGCTTACCCTCCCCCAAGTGTGGATGCAGCACCTGCCGGTCTGAGAGTCTCATGCTCACCCTAACTCAGACCCACCACAACCCACCTCTGAGCAGTTCTTTATGCCAGTTCCTTTACCTGGAGAGCCCTTCCAGCCGTCTCCACGTGCACGAATCCCACGTGTTCATCAAGGTCTAGCTGAGACACCTCCGTAACACTTTCCCGATCCCATCTTCGAACCCCCACTGCACTGCTGGCATGCCTGCGCTGTTTTCAGGTTGGGGTTGCCATGTGATTCTCCTACTTCACTCTTGGGAGGGAATTTCGATGGACTCCTCTGTTACCCCAGAGCATCTGAGTCTGACCCTGAGCTGGGGAAAATGCCCAATAAAAGGACTCACCTGTGTTCCTGCAGTTGCCTTAGACTCAGCCTCACACGACGCTGTCTTAGACTGCAGGGCCGGGAGCAGAGCGTAGGGAGTCCGCGGTCAACTGTGCTGGCTTAAACCGGGCTGCTCACATCGTGCTACGGTGAGAGAAGCAAAAACTCCCCTTCACATTGTGAACTGCCCACATTACCACGGGGAAAGACAGGCAACAGTGTTCCTAAAAGCTTCCATTTTCCAAGTGCTCCCAGTGCAGAAGGCAGTTTATAAAAACGATATAATTTGACCTCACATTAGCCCTACAATGCTCATCTATTCATCACCACCGTTTTACAGTTAAGAAAACCAAGGTTTGGGAAGGTCACACGTCTTGCCTGAGGTCTCGCTGCTCGTCAGGCTCAAGGCCAGAGTCTCAACCTAGGTCCTGCTTCCCAAACCCATGCTTGACCTTAAACACCCTGAAACCACCCGGTTAAAAACAGCAGTCATACAGTTTATGTGAAAAATGTATCAAATGGGTTTTCTTTCATTATCTCATGTGAAAGAAGAGGGAGATTTTAGAAATTACTTTATATATTTGTAATAGAAAGAAGTCTCGTTCAAATCCCTGCTTCCCATCTGGCTGCTCATTGGAATTGCCTGGAGAGCTGGTTCAAACCAGACTCCGATCCGCAGATCCGGGATGACCTCTACTTCCAAGTGATTGCCACGGGCTGCCAGATTTGGGACCCCCAGTTCAGGTTGTCGTTTGGCCCAGAGAGCCGACATAACCAAGCTGAGGCTTTATTCTCTTTAGGGGACCACTAGCTGAGGGCTCCGTGGACCGCTGGGACTTGAGACCCTTCTCATCTTCCCCAAGAGTCAGTGGGATGGGGCTGCCGTCTCAGAGCTGACTCCAACATGCCTGGCTTCTGGAAATGTGCCTGGCTTAAGGCTGAACTGAAGGTAGGTCCCTCTTCCCTCCCCACATCCTTTATTTCTCTTACTTGAAAACACATTCTGGGGGGTCGTCTATTAAATGCTTCCTTCCTCTCTTCTTCCTGGGTGGGGTAAATGTACGTGGGAAAGAGAATTCTAGAGCAGGAGTAAGGAAGCCTGGATTTGCTGATTCATCTGGATGTACAGCAGGCCGGAGGTACCCTGGATGTACCCAGGACTAAAGATCCCTGGATGTGCACTTGATTTAAGGAAACTTGCCCCTTTGCATCGTTCTCATGGTTTACATGGCCTTGAAAAAGCAGATTTGAGCATTCTGTTTCTTACTGTGTAAATGGCACCGCCCACCCTGCCTAACTCACTGGGTTCCTTGACACCAGAGAACCATGAAAGTGCTTTGAAAAACATGAGGCCTAATGGAACGGAAGGTGGGATTGGGAGCCACGTGGCTGAGCGGAGCTGGCATGGGCTTGGAGTCACAGGTGGGGTGACCTGGCCCTCTGGTTTGCCTGGGACAGTCATTGTTCACACTAGTGACCATTCAGCTCTCAAAACTGAAAAGGATGCGTCTAACTCACTTATAAACCCAGTCCTTGGCATCCTTGTCTAATCTCGTTACATCTTGGTTTCCTACTCTGAAATACGCAGGTCCTATGCGTGCATTTAGAGACAGACTGTGAGTGTCAGAAGAGACTCCAGTGGAGAGCTCTTTGTAAAGTGGAAATGAAAATCACACAGAGGGTGTTGTCATTATCATTAAGTCCTGGTGATGTGAACCAGTAAGCCGTATTTTGTGGGCACTCTAGAATCCAGTTCTTTACCAAGGTCTGTCCCTTCCCTCTTTGGGACTCCTTTTTCCTCTGGCTGAAGAGGCCACTTGCTGTCTTTCCCTGGGTCCCAGTCAGCTTTTCTGAGAAACAGAAGAATTGGAGTCTGAATTTCCAAGATGCCTCCCAGTGGTCACGTTCTGTGGTTTCATGATCCTGAAGAACGTTTGGCCTGCTGGTATTGGCTGGTTGTTTTCTTAAGAACAAAGAAAGCCAGACAAACTAAACATGAAATACAACCCCAGCAATGGATTACACAGGCTTTGAAAGAGGCATTAAGCAAGAATGGTTATGTCTAATATTGGGCCTTCTGGCCTTCCCAGGGCCTGGGATCTGGCATCAGATGTCTGAACTTGATATACACCTGCAGGTACAGTTACGGCTGTTAATCTGCCAAGCTCTGTTGTTCAAGCTGGCTGTTGGAAAGCATTCAATAAATTTTTTTCAGAAGCCATGTGTTATATGATTCGTTGTTTCCCCAAACAATATTACTGATATTTCAATTTAACTGACTTCAGTTCCTTGGTCTTGTGCAGAGGGCTTTTTGTTTGGATTTGCTTTGCTTTTGTAGCATTTCCATGCAATCCCTGGTGATGTCTCCCAGCAGTTACATTACTGTTATATTAAGTATTGGGGGGATGTCTTGGGTTTCTTCCTTGTATTGTATAATGCAATTATTGAAGGGACGTCTAGCTAGAAGATTTACAGATGGGATCTGAGGGTTCAGGCTTCTCAGAACTTTGGCCCCAGGAAAAAAAAATAGAAAAGAGAGAGAGAGAGATTGAGAGACAGAGAGAGAAATTGAGAGACAGAGACAGAGACAGAGAGAGAGAAAGAGAGAGGAAGATTGACTCCTTAGCTCTTTAATCCCAGGCTAATGAACCTTGGTCAGCAGTGCCAGTCTAGGCTGGCATCCAGGTGAGGGTGGGCTGAAGACCCAGGCAGGTGGTCCCACTCCTGGCCATTCCTGAGAGCCCAGGCTCTGCCCTTCAGAGAGGACCAGTCACCCTGGGTTCCCGGAAGACCCACACAAAAGGCTGGGCAGGAGTCCAGTGGTCAGATTGTTTTTGTTTCCCATCTGCATGGCTGCCTAGCTTGTGACTGACCCAGTGTAGCTGCAAATCCATACCAGTTCTCCCCATCTGGCGAGATGAAGTCATTGTTGAGTCTGCTTTGCAAAATACAACAGAACAGACAGACCTGCAGGGGCCTCTTTTTTTGATATGGCTTCTGCCTTGATTGGTAGTTCTTTGGTGCTTTATCCCATGACCAGTCTTGACCCTCACATCACAAATGGAGCCCACACATCAGGCCTCCTCTGAAAGTCGATGTGTTCATTCACTTGTTCTTTCATGCATCTGTTCATAGATGTCCACTGTGGTAATTTGGCCTCTTAAATTCTAGGCTGCATCAAACCCAATCTGCTGGTCATGGGAAGCCCAGTTCCTCTGAATTCCTGCTTTGGCTGAGTTGCTTCTATTCAGGGACCATCTCATCACCTGCACACGTGCACAATCCTCATTTCTTTCTGTGTCTACTGAGACATGGAGGACCGGGTCCCTCCATTATAAATATACTCATACAAAGCATTGTGTGTGTGTGATTTGCAGCTACACTGGGTCAGTCACAAGCTAGGCAGCCATGCAGATGGGAAACAAAAACAATCTGACCACTGGACTCCTGCCCAGCCTTTTGTGTGGGTCTTCCAGGAACCCAGGGTGACTGGTCCTCTCTGAAGGGCAGAGCCTGGGCTCTCAGGAATGGCCAGGAGTGGGACCACCTGCCTGGGTCTTCAGCCCACCCTCACCTGGATGCCAGCCTGGACTGGCACTGCTGCCCAAGGTTCATTAGCCCGGGATTAAAGAGCTAAGGAGTCAATCTTCCTCTCTCTTTCTCTCTCTCTGTCTCTGTCTCTGTCTCTCAATTTCTCTCTCTGTCTCTCAATCTCTCTCTCTCTCTTTTCTATTTTTTTTTCCTGGGGCCAAAGTTCTGAGAAGCCTGAACCCTCAGATCCCATCTGTAAATCTTCTAGCTAGACGTCCCTTCAATAATTGCATTTCGGCAGTGGCTTAGGGAGCTGGGGTATTTGTGATGCAACAACACCAGCAACTTTGGGAAATACATTTGTGTGCCAAAAGCATCCTTCACGGGCCGTTTGCTGGGTCCCAGCTTCCCATGTCCCTTCGTTGTTTTCAGCTCTCCTCCCCCTCGTCTCTCCTTCTCTCTACTGTGCTCTTTCCTTCCCTCAAATTCTGTTTTTTTCTTTTTCTGTTTGTTTTGTTTCATTTTTTGAGACAGGGTCTCACTCTGTTGCCCAGGTTGGAGTGCAGTGGTTTGATCATGGCTCACTGCAGCCCTGAACTCCTGGGGCTCACATGATCCTCCCACCTCAGCCTCCCAAGTAGCTGAGACCACAGGTGCTCACCACCGTGCCCAGCTAATTTTTGTATCTTTCTGTATAAATGGGATTTTGTCATGTTGCCCAGGCTGATCTTGAACTCCTGGGCTCAAGTGATCCTTCCACCTAGCCCTTTCAACATGCTGTGATTCACAGGCACGAGCCACTATGCTGGGCCCCTTCCGCAAATTTGTAAGATAATTCCTAGTGTCACAATTCAGCAATTTCTTTCACACTGATCCGTGTCTTCATATTCTTACTTTCCACCCCAAGCAGCCGTATTAAGATATGTTGCTAAGTAGCAACAGGTGCTTCCCTAAAAGGTATTCTAATATCAAGGTGATATATATTTAGAAATGCACAAGATGGGTTAGCAGTAAGATGGGAATTTAAAGGCATAGATATTTATCTGGCTAATATTTGTCAAGCATCCACTCTTAGGGGTAGGAAGATGACCAGGCCCACATTCTGTGCTCAAGGTGCTCTCCTTCTCATAAGAGAGACAGCGCTGGATGGTGGGACTAACGTGTATCAGATGTGCCAAGAGGGGGATGGAGTGGGGGCATCCGAAGTTCCAGTCGGGTGTCAGGGAAAGCTCTGTTAGAGGAAAGAGCCTTGTGCTAGACCTAACAGAGATTGCAAACATAGAAACGGAGAGTAGGGAAGGGAGAGGGCCCCCAGGTGGGGTTCATGGTCATCCCAGGCTTGGAGGCAATACCTAGACCGATACCAGAAGGGAGTGGATTCTGGGAATGGAAAGAATAGAGACATTTGCAGCTTCTGGTCCAGCATGTAAGGAACTTGGACGTCATTCCTCCCATCCACACAGTAAGAAAAGAGCTTGACAAACCCCAAAACAGCAAATCTTAGATCTGTCAGGGAGAAGAGGTCACAGGGCAAACCTCTGCCCCCCAGATTGGAGAGGCAGACAGGTAAATGCAGAAAAATCACAACTCATGGGAGCAGAAACCTCTGTGGGAAGCAGTACTGGGTTCCGATTACCCAGTGCAACATATCTGGTTTTGAATAAAAAATTACAAGGGGTACTAAAAGACAAAAAAATGAGTTAGAAGAGAAAGAGCAAGCATCGAATTTGACTCAGATGTGGCAGAGAAGTTGGGGAGTTTCAAATAACCATCATTACTGGGCTAAGGGCTCTAATGGATAAAGTGAAAGGGGTGGGAAGACCTGGAGACAAGGCTGGGACCCTGCGGAGGGGCATGAGTGCAGGTGTGCGGGAACACACCCATTCCTGCCTCACAACTCTGGGGAGGCTGTGTTCACCGTTCCTAGCAGGGCAACCTCCTCTTCTCTGTCCTCACACACTGTCTGAGGCTGGCTGTGTCTGAGCCCTTCTAAGCCACTGATTTCTCTCTGGGTTTCTCTCCCAGCAGCCCCAACACCCACGTTAACAAGGACAACACCACCAACCATGTTGCAAGGGCCTGCTGGGCTTGCCTTTTTGTAAGGGCAGGATTCAGCTGGAGTCAGCTTCCTGGAGTTAAGGGCAGGAAAGGGGGCTTGGTGATTACAGCATGACAAAAACAATGACTTTTAATTGTTTTAGCAGACAGATGTGAGAACAGATCATCCTTCCTTCTTCCTTCCTTCCTTCAATCATTTAGCATTTACTGACAGGCTATGCTGCCTTAAGCTGCTCACTTTTTTTTTTTTTTTTTTGAGACAGAGTCTTGCTCTGTCACTCAGGCTGGAGTGCAGTGGCATGATCTTGGCTCATTGCAACCTCTGCCTCTTGGGTTCAGGTGATTCTCCTGTCTCAGTGTCCTGAGTAGCTGGGACTACAGGCATGTGCCATCATGCTTGGCTAATTTTTTGTATTTTTAGTAGAGATGGGATTTCACTGTGTTAGCCAGGATGGTCTTGATCTCCTGACCCTGTGATCCACCCATTTCAGCCTCCCAAAGTGCTGGGATTACAGGTGTGAGCCATTGCACCCAGTCAAGCTGCTCACTCTTATAGCCTGTTAATAAAGGCAATATTAGGAAGATGGTGGCTGGGCCCATAATGGGGTGTAGATGGGTGTTGTGGGGAAATTAGAGGGCTCAGTGGGAAGAGGGGTCAGGTGGGCCTTGGGCAGGGCCACCAAGGGCAGGTCTTGCAGGAAGGCTGGTTCTCTCTTCTTGGAGGGGATGTTGGTTTTGCCTTCCCTGACCTCTTCCCTCCTTTCTGATGTCAGACCTTGCCACCTGTGACCACGGGGGTAGGTGGCATAAGCTAATTGGCCATTGTCAGTGATGTGGATTCAGGCACAGTGACACCACCAGACACAAGGCAAAGCAATCAGCAGCCAAGCTTGCAATTTCTCAGGTTCTCTCTGCTTCAACCTTCTGCTCCAACATTACAATGTAGGATTCAATAGAATCCTAATCCTTGGAGTGGGAGCTTTTCAAATCCAGCCCACAAACACTTCTGCATGCCCACCACCCTGCATGAGGCAGTGGGCTGGGTCCTTATGCATGAGGCTTTGGTCATCTACAAAAAAGTGAAGGGGGTGCTTGACATTGCTATAATCTCCATTAGACATAAGAGTTCAATTTCCATTAGGAGAAAGTTAGAGTTACAACAAACATGCACTTGCAAAGGTGTAGGCCCAGACCCTGACACATACAATGTTCTCAAAGGGTGATGAATGTCAGCACCGTGAGGTGGACCCACAGTGTGGGCATCACAGGGTGGGGCTGGGTGGGGGCTTCAGGTAGAGAGACTGCATGATGAGCTCAGAAAGCAGCCGTGGGTTCAGTGTGCAGACAAGCCCATGTAGCAGGTGCAGGAGGCTTCACTCCATTGATTTATAAAGTAAGGACACTCCTTGGGCAGGACAGAGTCTTTGAGATTTAACACGGTTTCTTAATTTCTGTTTGCAGACAGGCCCAGGCTGATCTGGATTTTGCTTTACCCAATCCAGAACAAAACAGTGGCAAAATTGTTAAGAGGAATGAATCAGAAATTGGCAGAATTAGATGACACAAAAATCCAAGATCAAAGCTTTGATGCTCTTACCCTTTGGTTGATTCTCCAAGAGAGAGGCACAGAAG